ATTAAAGGGAGTGTTCGTGAAAAATGAAAGGGGGTATAGGCTTAATGCGATAAAAAAGCGCTTTTGATCGCTACTAATCTTACTTCTATCTGTTGCGTCTATAAGGAGAAAATTGTTAAATACGTCTCATACCGAATAACTTGCAGCCATACAAATTGAGAAAATTGCAACATACTATACTTAGACCGTAAAAAATCAATTTAATTTCAAACAAATTATTTAGATATTACAACCTATAGTCATCGATTATCTTTCGCCACATTTGTATATAGTTTATATTTTATAATATTTCATTTTTTTAGAAAACGTTTTCAACGGATTTCGAAAATTGTGAGTGGTGTGCGGCATTCTTAGATAGTTGCGCAAGCGACAAGAGAAACAAACAAATTAATTAAAAAATATTATAAAATATAAACCATTTACAAATGTGGCGAAAGATAATCGATGACTATAGGTTGTAATACCTGAATGATTTGTTTGAAATTAAATGGATTTTTTACGGTTTCAGGGTTTTATACTAGTTTACGTAAATCTCAGTATTTGCGAAAATAAACAAATAGCCTTGCATATGCGGGAACAATTTGAAAGAGCTCCATATAATCATTTAATTAAAAACTAAATATCTGCAACATTCCATTTTCAGGAAGTGAAGACCCTACAAACTTAGTCTCCGAAAAACCGATGGCGAACATAGAAAGTCCAGAATTATTTACCCGACAACTTCGCCATCAGCACGTAAAGTTGGTAAAAATGTTTTCTGGGGAATACGACATTTGATGAATTCTTTCGATGTATGACTTATTTAGGGTTTAACTGTTGAAACTTTCAGACGTTTGATTGAAAAATAAAAATCTGCTGAATACCTATACACGAGGCGACTTATCATTCAACCCCCTTTCTGTCCGACCTATAGCTATATAAAACAAGTGCTAATTTAAGTTGCCATGACTATAGGCCCGACTACTTGCAATCTGAGCTTAGCTCCGGGTCCATATGAGGAATGAAGGGGTTACATCAACAGAACTATCAAATCTGAGCTTAGCTTTGGGTTCGTATGCGAACTGAAAGGGTTACATCAATGGAACTATCCTTATTCAGAGCTATTAAGCTCACACTGGTTACAATTGATTTATTTCTTAAATCAGTTACATTATTATATATAAAGAATATATATTATATATGATCCACATAACATAGCATCATATTCAAAAATTTACATTTTCCTGTTTCCATAAGGACTTTGAAGTTACAACAACTCAAAATATATCCATTGTAAAACTTGTACCATGTATAGTACAGTTATATGAGCGACAGAGGAAAAGACCCTAGCTCCTTTCAGGGAGCGTAACAAAATGGCCGTTTTACACTTTTTTCTAGTAAATTCCCCTCTAATATATATTCTATTCTCTATGGCATTAATCCATAATATTACTCTAGTGTTTCTTGTTTGTCACTAAAAAAAAAACATATTATTTACAAATACTTTTCAGGGAAATCTACTATATAAAGCAACCAATCAATCAATGGACATATCGATAAAGCTTTCTTAAAGATTTTTGCAAGCGGCCAATCACTTTTTTTTATTAAAAAGGGACTGTAAGCATAACTACAAGTCACCTTCTATTTAAAGAGAAGCAGCTCCGATTCACAATGGTACCCTTTAAACCTTGGACTGATGAACCCTTTAAACCTTTGACTGATGAATCCTTTAAACCTTGGACTGATGAACCCTTTAAACCTTTGACTAATGATCCCCCTTTAAACCTTTAACTGATGAACCCTTTAAACCTTTGACTGATGAATCCTTTTAACCTTTGACTGATGAGTCCTTTAAAGGGAGTGACCCGCTATGTAAGGTAGTTGAACTGAGTATGCAGTGTTGTGGAAGGCTTCTTTCGGATTCATTACAGCCATATTAAACTTTTTAAAGATCTGTAAATCCTGAGTTTGAGCGCAAATATTCGATGTTCAAAACTCCTACTTTGGGGGTGGATACGTTTTCAGAATCTGTTTTTCTTAAACTATTGAATAACGACGGCATAAAATGTAAAAAAGTTCTACAATTAACTACAGACGTCATGTATAGGAACATGTTGAGAAAATAAAAATTAATCTTATCATCGAAAATAAGTAATCTTGTTCAATTATTAGTTTCTATTATCTCATTATTCTGGTTTCTCATTGTTCACAAAGATTTTTGCAGATTTTCTAGAATTATTATTGAAAAGACGACATTTGAAGAATTTGAAGAAATCTGCGAATAAATTCAAAGAAAATTAGAAATTCAATAAAACAATGAAAACTAAATAATTGATTTTTTTTATTGGCAAATTTCTTTTCAGAAATATGTTGCTTCCATCTAATTAGATTACTGTATAATTTTTTATTTATTTTTCGTTGTCGTGATCTATTAATTAAAAAAAACTAATTCTGAAAACGTTTCCACCCCCAAAGTAGGAGTTTTAAACGCGAATCTGCGCTCAAACTCAGGATTTACAGTTCAGTTCAACTACCTTACATAGCCGGTCACTCCCTTTAACCTTTTTTCAAATGAACCCTTTAAACCTTTGACCGATAAATCCTTTAAACCTTTGACTGATGAATCCTTGAAACCTTTGACTGATAAATCCTTTAAACCTTTGACTGATGAATCCTTTACACCTTTGACTGATGAATCCTTGAAACCTTTGACTGATGAATCCTTATAACCTTTGACTGATGAATCCTTTAAGCTTTTGACTAATGAACCCTTTACACCTTTGACTGATGAATCCTTTAAACCTTTGACTGATGAATCCTTTAGACCTTTGACTGATAAATGTTGTCTGACATATTTATATTAAACTACTGAAACGCTTTTAGTTGATAAGCACTTAGCTTGCAAACTGTAAAACAGTTTATAACTTGAGTTGTGGAAGCAATAGATCAGCTGTTTTGAGGTTACTCTGTACACAACGTACAGGCTACATTTAAAAAAAATTCTAGCGGGTTCCGATATGTAAAACCAGAGAGATATTTCTACTCGATGAACAGTCAAAGTATCAAGGATACCGTTGCAATTCTGGCTTGAAGAATTACTTGAAAATACGCTTACTGTCCCTTTGAATAATATTTTTTCATTGTTCAAACTCACCAGATAGTTACTAAGCATCCATGCCGTCTACTTTTCCAAACACCATAGCAGTATGCCTGGGTTCAAAATATTAAGATTAACCCTATAACTGATGTTGA